GAGTTTGCTACGAGCCAGGCTGATGCCATGGCACTGTAACCCGGGCTACAGAGTGAGACTCTGTCTCAAAAAAAAAAAAAAAGACCCGCCCCCCAAAAGAGTAATCATTATTTCTGGGTAATACAAAGAATAAGTTTTGTTTTGTTGTTTTTCCCTTTGGGCTTTCTGTATTTCCAAGTTTTCTACATCAAACATGTATTATTTTTATAATTAGGGAAATTATTAAAATTATTAGTTATTGATATTAAAGGTAAAGTTTTAGCAAAATTTATTTACTTATTTATTCCTAGCACACTTTACAAAATGCATTTATTTATTCCTAGCAAACTTTATTTATTGTTCTGATAAAACCTTATTTATTAAAAAAATTTTTTTAAACAATTTTTTTTTATTTTAATTTTTTAGAGACAGAGTCTCACTTTGTTGCCCAGGCTAGAGTGAGTGCCGTGGCATCAGCCTAGCTCACAGCAACCTCAATCTCCTGGGCTCAAGCGATCCTAATGCCTCAGCCTCCCAAGTAGCTGGGACTACAGGCATGTGCCACCATGCTAATTTTTTGTATGTATATTTTTAGTTGGTCAATTAATTTCTTTCTATTTCTAGTAGAGACGGGGTGTCGCTCTTGCTCAGGCTGGTTTCAAACTCCTGACCTTGAGCAATCCGCCCGCCTCGGCCTCCCAGAGTGCTAGGATTACAGGCGTGAGCCACCACACCCGGCCTAAACAATTTTTTTTTTTTTTTTTTTGAGACAGAGTCTTGCTTTGTTGTCCAGGCTAGAGTGAGTGCCGTGGCGTCAGTCTAGCTCACAGCAACCTAAACTCCTGGGCTCAAGATCCTACTTGCCTCAGCCTCCCGAGTAGCTGGGACTACAGGCATGTGCCACCATGCCCGGCTAATTTTATATATATATAGTTGGCCAATTAATTTCTTTCTATTTATAGTAGAGACGGGGTCTCTGCTCTTGCTCAGGCTGGTTTTGAACTCCTGACCTGAGCAATCCGCCCGCCCGCCTCCCAGAGAGCTAGGATTACAGGCGTGAGCCCCCGCGCCCGGCCTAAACAATTTTTTTATTGATGCATAATAGATGTACTCTAGCAAATTTTAAAAAGGAAGCTGTTGTGCCGTGTTATGTAGCTCATGCCTGTAATCCCAGCCTTTGGGAAGCCAAGGCAGGAGGATCGCTTGAGGCCTGGGCAACAAAATGAGGCCCTGTCTTACAAAAAATTAAAACAGGCCGGGCGTGGTGGCTCACGCCTGTAATCTTAGCACTTTGGAGGCCGAGGCGGGCGTGTCTCAAGGTCAGGAGTTCGAAACCAGCCTGAGCGAGACCCCGTCTCTACCAAAAAAATAGAAAAAATTAATTGCCACTAAATATATATAAAAAAATA